GTGATTTCAAATGACTACCGCATAACTAGTCGTGAAAACATGTGCTATTGAAAGTATTTTTGTTAGGTGATGCAAGAGTGCATTTGTCCATTCACCTCCTTGATCACTTTGAAGAACGGTAGGAAATCCATATTGTAGGAACACATCGTCTAGAAGAGCCCGTGTAGCTGTACTAGCATGTTTATCAGCAACTAGTATTGCGCGAAGAAAGTTCGAATACGGACAAACGGCGGTGATTATCCACTTGTTTCCATTTACGCTCACTGGAAGTTCGCCTACGTAGTCAACACCAAGTGTGTGAAAAGGTCGCTGATAAATACGAACTTGCATTGGTCCATGATTTGGCGTTTTAGACTTGAAGCGGATACACTGCGGACAACGACGTATCCAATTCCGGACGTGTTTAGACATGTTTTTCCAGTAGAAATGTGCAGATAATGCTTCGAATGTTGCTTCACGACCCCAGTGCATAGCGTACAAGGAATCGTGAAAAGCTCGAATTAAATGGCGACGAAGGGTTATATCACTTGGAACCATGTAACGAAGTTGATTTGGGTTTGGCATATCAATGTCAGTCATAGAAGCATAACAAGTGGTTTGACTAGAAGTACTGGGTTGTTGCATTTGTTTTTGACAATTAAATGTGCCACCCAGAACTGTTAAACCAGGCTGAACTGTTTTTCCTTCAAGCCACAAATCTGGAGAAAGGACACTAAGTGCAGTGAAGAGTGTAAAATATACAGGAACAGAATTCATACCTCTGTGAAGCATTGTAGGCTTGGATTTGTGAGTACTTACAGAGGGGCCTCCAGTTAAAAGGCATGTAACTCTTGCATGTGGTCGTGGAGTTGAATTCTGAAATGCTTGTTGGGGGTTTTCCAGGGAACATTTGATCATGAATTGCATGTTGGGGTGTCGGAATTCGATGCTGGGAACTGCATGATTAACTAGAGCTTGAGTGGAATGAAGGTGGTTTTCCCCAAATAGGATAGGCCAAGATAGTTGTGGGACTACGAGCATTGTAAAAATGGATTCTCCCCCCCCCCCCATCCCATACGAAAGGTATTTGCATGGTGGCAATGGCAGATAATTTGGATCTGGCATTAGAACAGACACAGGGATAGGTTCTTCAAGGTTTTCAAATTTTAAGTTCTGGTCGTTTAGAATAATTAGAAATAACAATGTCTGCATGTGCTTGACTAACCAGCGACACTGAACAACAGCTGTCAATTGGTAATGGTAATTTAACTCCCGCAGAAGAGACTGGGGCCCACAGAATATGTCGACCTTGCAACACACCCTGTGGATTGGTAACTGCTGGTAAGCCAAATATTTGTGGATCAGACCTGGATGAGCTATTGGGTTGGGTATTGCAAGGGTTAGTAGGGCCTGCAGTGGCACGTGGCTGTGTAGGATAAACAGGATCATGGGATTCACAAAAATTTGAGGAGGGATGTACTGAGTTAGGTGGGTTAGACCTCAGGTTAGGCTGATGGCGAAGTGCTTTGCACCCTCACTTGTTGCATTCAAGACATTTGTGCAATCGACCAGCTGAATATTTATTGTTTGACTGTTCGCAATGAGATGTAAGAAAACGGTTATATTTCCTACAGATTTTCAGTTTTGGAGGAGGAAGTTGTGGGCGTTGCTGGACAGGTTTATTCAAGGGACAACTTCGTTGAAGATGGGAAGGGTCACCACACTGATAGCATGCTTTAACAGGGTTTTTTTCTGGAACATTTCGAATTCCCCCCTTAGCGGGCTGGGTAGAAAGTGCCCCAAGGGGTTTCCAATCACTCAGTGAACTTGATAAATTGTTGTCTGTGTTAGACTCTTTTACTTCATGCATCTTCAAAGACTGTTCGATACGACGGACAGCCTCGATAGTTTCGTCTAACTGTTTGAACTCTTCGGCTTTGACAATAAGGTGTTGGGAAATTTGGGGATGTACACGAGATATGAATTGAGCAATACTGTAAGTTGGACAAAGCTTAGTTAATGACTCACCGAGTTTGTCGAGTTGATGAAGAACATTTTTCAAACGAAAGGCAAACTGTTCGATTGTTTCCGTTGGTTCTTGTTTCATAACACTAAGTTTGCTTGCTAGTCGACGACATTTGTCCTGTTTTGGTTCCTCAAATTCCTCTCGTAACCGGCTTGTACAGAGACCATATTGCTCAGCGGCTGATTTTTCAGAAAATCCCTCGCTAAAACGACAAATAGACAGAACTGAACGCGTCTATTTGCCTACGCATTGCTGTTCGAGAAGTGTTAATCGTAAGTTATGCGATAAATGATTTGTTTGCTCGCCAAATCTTTCGATAGAATCGTTGACATCATCCTGAACTAACTTGTCTCGCCTGAACTCTGGTAGTTGTAACGTCGGTAACTTGAGATTCGATGTAGCTTGAGTGTCATTTCCTGAAATTCCTGCATTTGTGAGTTGACCCACTTGCGTTGATATTTCTGCGACATTTGTTGTCAGCCCTTTTACAACACTTGAAAGACCGGCTATTAGCCCTGTTAGTTCTTCGATCGTTGCCATTTTTGTCTCAAAAGTTAGCTTGCATCCTCCGCCATCTCAACGGGCTTGATTACCGTATAATATAAATTTTATTTCATAAAATACTTTGACGAAAACATCACATAAAAGTACAAAACTACAATCTGTCGATGTTCTCTTCCTCCCCAATGTGCTTTGCGCGCTCACGACATTCCTATTACTACATTGGGGGGGGGGGGGCGCTGCTTGCTTTGGCTGGGGCCTGGTGGCAACGCCTAGAACTTTAGGCTAAGGAAAACGTTTAACAAAATTTATTTTCTAGGCCTGCATGGCAAGATGTGAGACCATAATATTGGTAATTTTACAAATTTAGTTGCAAGAATAATCAAATATGAAACTATCAAATCAAAATATATATAATTTGCAGGGGTGCTAAAACTTTTAGGGGCGTTGCCAAATGCCTCTGGGGGGGGAGGGGGTGCAAATCATTTCTGGGGGGTGCACCAACACCCCCCCCCCCC